AGGCGCCCGCCACAACGCTCGGCTATTTTTTGGTTGCAGCCGTCATTGTTGTTTGGCGGGTCCGGGCTGGGGATTCGAACCCGTCACCTTAGGTGTACGTGGCTGGCGCCTTAGCCGGTTGAGCTATAGGTGCCGAGCCGATTCTTGATTTTGAATCAGAGTTAGAAGAATCTTTCCTATTCACAAGTTGGCAAGGAATCCACTCATATTTTCTTCTAGTACCTGGTTTCCCTTTTCTACACTTAGATCCTGACTCATATGGAGTTTATGCTTAAGTTTGATATGAGGCATATATCTAATTTATCTTTCTCTAAATGGCTGACTGGCTATCCCTACACCATTTATTAAAAATTCTTTGTCCTAGTGATTTGAGATATCACCTTTATCACATCCTAGGTTTCTGTGTGTACTTGAGTATGTTTCTGGACATTCTATTCAGTTCTCCTGGTCTGTTGTCTGTTTGTGTACAGCACCGCATTATTTTAATTATAGAGGCTTTACACATATCTGGTAGGGCTTGTCTTCTTGCTTAGTTTTATTATTTCCCTGATATTTTCCTAGCAATTCTTCCATGTTTGTTTTTCCATATGAACTTTAGTTTTGACTTGCCTAGCTCCATAGAAAAGCTTTATCTTTGACTTGGCATCTGTAGCATGGTGGTTACAGCACCAGCCACATACACTGAGGTTGGCATGTTTGAACCTGGCCTGGGCCAGCTAAACAACGCGGACAACTGCAAGAACAAAAAAAATAACTGGGTGTTGTGGCAGGCGCCTGTCGTCCCAGCTTCTTGGGAGGCTGAGGCAAGAGAATGGCTTAAGCCCAAGAGTTTGAGGTTGCTGTGAGCTGTGACACTGCAGTACTCTATTGAGGGTGACAAAGTGAGAGTCTGTCTTGAAAAAAACAAAAAACAGGGCTCGGTGCCTGTGGCTCAAGTGGCTAAGGTGCCAGCCACATACACCTAAGGTGGTGGGTTCGAATCTAGCCCAGGCCCGCCAAGCAACAATGACGGCTGCAACCAAAAAATAGCCAGGCATTGTGGTGGGCGCCTGTGGTCCCAGCTACTTGGGAGGCAGAGGCAGGAGACTTGCTTGAGCCCAGGAGTTGGAGGTTGCTATGAGCTGCGATGCCACGGCACTCTACCCAGGGGGACAGCTTGAGGCTCTATCTCTCATCCAAGTACTAACCAGGCCCGACCCTGCTTAGCTTCCGAGATTAGACGAGATCGGGTGCGTTCAGGGTGGTATGGCTGTAGACTTGAGGCTCTATCTCAAAAAAAAAACCAAAAAACAGGGTGGCACCTGTGGCTTAATGGGTAGAGCGCTGGCCCCATATACTGAGGGTGGAAGGTTCAAACCCGGCCCCGGCCAACTGCAACAAAAAAGGGCGTTGTGGTGGGCACCTGTAGTCCCAGCTACTTGGGAGACTGAGGCAAGAGAATCACCTAAGCCCAGGAGTTGGATGTTGCCATGAGCAGTGTGACGTCATGGCACTCTACC